AGCCAGGAGGGTATCTTGGCCCCTTTGCCCGCTTTTCTATGTAGTACATCCCTACTGGCTGCTAGTGACCAGCCTTTCAGAAGTTTACAAGTGGACTTGAGAATTGATCCCAGGTCCTATCCATGGCCTCAGAGCATCTCTGAAGACTGTGCCAAGATAGCAGTGTTACATCTAGAAAACATTTTACATATCTTTGAGTCTTTAGAAAGAACGATGACTGACGATGACTGACGTTGGTTCTTCAGTAAGGCCACTTCCTCACCAGAAAGGGGTGGAGGGCCATCAACAAGGCCCCTCTAAGCAATGCAGCCAAGCCAACTTTTATCACAGCAGCATTGGTCAGGGTGGAGGCGTGCCGCAGGGGATCGCAGATGGCCACGTACCGATCCATGGCCACTAAGATGCCTGGCTCCATGGCTGTGAAGGAGTGAATGAAGTACAGCCGGGAATTGCAGGCCTTGAACTCGATCTCTGTGGAATTGAAGCAGAAGATGCCGAGCATCTTGGGCAGGGTGGAAGTGGGGAGGACCAGGTTGGTGACGGTCAGCATGCAGAGGAAGTACGACATGGGCACGTGGAGGCTCGGCTCCATCCACACCATGAACAGGATGGTGAAGTTCCCCAGGACAGCGATGATGTGCATGGCACAGAAAGGGATGGAGATCCAGACATGGGCATCCTCCAGCCCTGGGATCCCCAGCAGGATGAAGGTGGAAGGGTTGGTGAAGACAGTCCCGTTGGCGTCCAACAAGGTGTGAGGTCCAGCCTGCGGGTCTCCGGCATTTATTGTGTGTTCTCACCTCTGGAAACCATACTTCTTATAGGTACTCAGACTCTAGCATTGACCGTGTCAGGACAAATGCCTGCATGGAAAGATGAAGTCAATATTAGGAGAGATGAAGTCAGTATGAAGATCAGGTGTTAAATGCAAATGAAGAGGCTGTTTTGATGGTTGCACCAAACCTGTCTCTTCATCCACCAAAAGTGACATTTTGATTGTACAGAGAAATGGTTCTGTGAACAGATGACTCTACGAACCCCAACCCCAAGGTCTGCGTCCCACAAACCAATGATTCTTGCATGCTACAATGTGGAAAAATCCATTATAAACCATTCACCTGGACACCAGTTATTCATTAATGGTCCTTAAGGCAACAACACTGAAACTCTGGTAAAGCATCTCTGCTGTAGACATATTCCCATTCCTCCCTGAAGCTTTTTCATACATAAGCTGCTCACAAGTTTCACGCACTGGAGTAGAAGATTGTCACAAACAATTGCATCAAACAATCCCTTTTTTTAAATGATGGAGATCCATCTGAAGCGAGGTCCCTCACTGCTTTCATGGGAGGATGCTCCAGAACCTTACTGCTCTGATGCTCAGAAACTTTTATTTTCCAGCCACTGTTTATTCATGTATTCAAATATGAGAGTGGGAAAATGTGTAAATAAACCAAAAAAAATCCATAAAACCCCCCCAAAACAAGAACACCTGGCACCAACCTCAACAGCAGCAACAACTCCCCCAAAAGAAACCCATACCGAGACCTCTGCCTAAGCACCTCCAAGGTCAAAACACCTAAACATCTACCCAAGAATGACTTGAATGCCATTGGTGACGGCTGAATGGAAGCACGTTCTTAATTCACTATTAAGGCCAAAATAATGGCGATGTCTGAATGCACAAAAAAACAGGAAGCAAAAAAACCCAGTTATGCTAGGGTATAGGATGCGGATCTAAGCAAACCTGGACAAGCTGGGAAGGTGGGTGAGGTGGAACCAGATGCAGGATAAATGCAGAGTGCTTCATCTGGGGAGAAGTAGCCAGGAACATGAGGGTAGGTTAGGAGGAGATGTCCTGGCCAGCACGACGGCTGAAAGGGACCCGGGGTTATGTCTGATCACGGGATGAACATGAGCCACCAGTGCAATGCTGTAGTCAACAGAGCTAATAGCATACTGGGATGCATTAGCCGATGCGTTGTGAGCAGGGCTAAGGAAGTGATACTTCCTCTCTACTCGGTGCTGGTGAGAGCCCAGCTGCAGCACTGTGTCCAGTTCAAAGGATCCAGAGAAGGGCCACAAGGATGATGAAGGGCCTGGAGGATGAACTTTAGGAGGAAAGACTAAGGGATGTGGGACTGTTCAGCCTGGGGAAGAGAAGACTGAGGGGGCACTTGGTGGTCATCTATAAGTGTGTAAGGGGTGAATATCAGGTGCTGGGAGAAAAACTATTCACTAGGGCACCCCAGGGGAGCACAAGGAGCAATGGCCATAAACTGTTGGAGGATCTGCCGATCTCAGGGGGTGCATGTGCACCTGCGTGCATCCCCTACGCGTCGCCAATCCTGACACGGACCCTGAATGCACCAGGGCTAAAGGAACAGCAGGTGTGCAAAACTTGCATTGCTACAAAAATCATACAGTTGTATTGGAAAGGCTTACACCAATCTCTTTTGACATCAATGCAGTTATTAGATCGATTTATATCCCTCGGGACCTAAAAAGACTGCTGAAAAATCTGGCACTCTTTGGGTCAGAGAAGAGACAGGAGGACAGAACAGAAAAAAACCCCAAAATAATGTGCATATCAGATTATATTTAACACGGACAAACAGGGAATGATTCCAGCAACTAAAAATTTGGAAGCATCAAACATTATCTATCTATCTATCTATCTGGTTCTTCAAAATAGATGGTTTCCCAAAGCTGAGGACAATGACAAGTAGAACTGACTGGGAAGAAAATTAGAAAGAAAATGTGAATGGAAATCGACAGTTCTTTAAGAGGAATTTTAGATGCCTAGAACACCATAATTCTGCAATTAAATAAGAGGACAACTTTTTTTTTAGAAGCTCATTATGTCTAGTTGGCAGCTGGTATCAAGTGGGGTGCCCCAGGGATCACTCCTGGGGTGGGTTTTATTCAAAATGCTCATTAACAATCAGGGAGATGGGATGCAGCGCACCCTCAGCAAGTCTGCAGATGACACCAAGCTGGGGGGGCGTGTAGCAGGTACACTGGAGTTTAGGGCTAGGAATCAGACAGACCTAGACACGTTGGAGGATTGGGCCAAAAGAAATCTCAGGAGGTTCAACAAGGACAAGTGCAAAGTCCTGCACTTAGGATGGAGCAATCCCATGCACCGGTGCAGGCTGGGGGTGACGGGCTGGGCAGCAGCTCTGCAGAGAAGGACCTGGGGGGACAGGGGACAAGAAGATGGATAGGAGTCAACAGGATGCCCTTGGTGCCAAGAAGGCGAACGGCATCCTGGGCTGCATCGGTAGGAGCGCTGCCAGCAGATCGAGGCAGTGATTCTTCCCCTCAATTCAGCACTGGGGAGGCCACATCTGGAGTCTTGTGTCCAGCTGTGGCCCCCATTACAGAAAAGATGTGGACATTGTCACAACCCAAGGGTGTGATTTTTGTTTGTGTGTGCTTTGGCACCGCTGAATTATTTTCCCGCCGTTTGAAGCTTTCTTTGCAGGGTGCATTTCTTCTTTGCAGCATAGAAATGCACGTTGCAAGGAGTTCCCGCCATTTGTATTTAAATTCGACCCCCCGCTATTGGTTGTTTCTAAATTATTCCCACGTGGCGGCTAGCGATTGGCTTGCTGGCCGTATAAGAGGCTTGGGTGGTTTCCGCCCAAGTTGGAGAACTTCGAGCACGCTGCAGAGTGCCTCTATGGAGATTTGACCTGCGGCTGGCTGATCGATAGACTGATCACCTATCGATTCTTCTCCCCGTCGCCGAGCGCAATCCTTGACGTATCCCTCTCCCCTGCGCGCAAAAAGTTCCACGGAGCCTCGACAACTTCGCGTGAGTCAGAGTTTTGTCCGAGTCCTTAACATAGGGATTTAAGCGGAGCTTTACCGGGGAAACTGTCCAGCCTACACCGCGGCCATCTACGGTGCAAGTAAACAATCTTGAATCAACCACTAAGCGTCCGTGCCTAATTCTAGCGCGCCGCCTGCCTTCCCCGACCCGGTGTGTCCGGGCTGCTGGCCACAGCCCGCGGTGCGCAAAAGGGCCTCGGATTGTTCCCGGCCCGCACAGACATGTAGCAACAAAAACGGACAATTGGCAACAAAAATGATTTGGGGGCTGGGGCACATGACTGGTGAGGAGAGGCCGAGGGAACTGGGCTGATTTAGTTTGGAGAAGAGAAGACCGAGGGAGGATTTGATAGCAGCCTTCACCTCCCTGCAGGGGGGCTGCAAAGAGGATGGAGCTGGGCTGTTCTCAGTGGTCGTATTGGAAGTGATAACCTCACTCGTATACTATGGAGGACATTCAGTTTATGAAAGGTCAATGGCTTTCATAAGCACGTGATGGCGAGTGGTAGCAGGGACCTGGATGCAATGGCCCTTCCAGGTTTCTATGACATAGACACCTTCTTCTTAGATAGAACTATGTGCGCAGGCCTATTAAGCTTCATCGTTACATAGAGCCTTGCCAATGATCATTATTTTTTGGCATGCCTTACCACTTCAAGATTGCATTCGGTGACTATCCCTCGGGTGAACATTGAACGGCACTTGATCTTTCAGGTTGAAATCAAGCCTGCTTTTCCCTTCCCTTTGCTTCTTCTGAGCGGACGGGACTGCGAACATTATCCATTTCACGCAAAGAACAGCAACGCCTCTCCGGTTGCTGCAATTATTTATTGCACCTTCCTTTGGTATTTTGTTAATCCCATTTTCCTCTTGTTTTGGAAGATTTCCCTGATCCTGTACATGGAGGCGTGAAACCATATTACCCCTTAGTAGCTGCTCCCAGTGACCATAACAACCACCTTTGTGCAACCAATGGAGTTATTCTTCTAGTTCGTATGACAGGGTTTTGCACATTGGAGACCGGAGAGGGGCAGAGTGGCAGTAGTGAGAGGAAGGGACTCTGTCCCTGGATACAGTAAATGTGTTGGGATGTGTCCTGGGGAATGGAGCATGGGATGAGATTTGTCCATCAGTCAATCTCTTTTGAACAAAGCATCCACACCCTATGGAAACACTGGAGAGCCCTTGGTGTAGACAACTCTGAGCACCCTTTCCCGGATCTTTTTGGTCATGACCCCATAGATGATGGGGTTCATCATGGGCGGAACGAGGACATAAATGTTGGCTATGATAATGTGAATATGCGGGGCCACGCTATGACCAAAGCGGTGGGTCAGGAAGGAGAAGAACGCAGGTGTGTAAGAAACCAGGATGACGCAGACGTGGGAGCTGCAGGTGCCCAGGGATTTGAGACGCGCCGCCTTGGAGGGCAGCTTGAAAACTGTGCGTAGGATCAGGATATACGACACGATGATGAGGACAAAATCTACCCCCCCAGTGAGGAAGGCGACAGTCAGGCTGTAGGCTCTCCTGGATGACGTGTCCGCACAGGCCAGTTTGGCCAGTGCCATGAACTCGCAGTAGGTGTGAGCGATGACGTTGGTCCTGCAGTACGGCAGCCACTTCAGCAGGGAACGGCCCCTCTCACCACCACCCCCAGCCCGATCTTGGCAACGACCCTGTTGGTGAGGATGGCCACGTGTCTCAGAGGGTTGCATATGGCCACGTAGCGATCAAAGGCCATGGCTAGGAAGAACCCAGACTCCATGGTGGAAAAGGAATGGATGAAGAATATCTGAGTTAGGCAAGCATTGATGTTGATGCTCCTGTTGTTGAACCAGAAGATGGTGAGGATTTTGGGCAGGGTGGTGGTTGATACAACCAGGTCAGCGATTTCCAGCATGCCCAGGAAAAGGTGCATGGGCTGGTGGAGACTCGGCTCAGTCTTGATAATAACCAGGAGGAGACAGTTCCCTAAGAGAGAGAGGAGGTAGATGATGCAGAAGGGGATGGAGATCCAGATGTGTGCAGCCTCCAGCCCTGGGATACCGATGAGGATGAAGGTGGAGGGATGGAGGAAGGTCACGTTGTGGATGGCCATGGGAGGGAAAGTTGGGTTTTTGAATTTTTCTAAA